TATACGTCTACTATATAATATGTATGATTCATCCTAATCCAAATAGGATGAATTTGAACGAATATTCATTTTTTTCCCCATCCTCTGCCATTCTTAATCGAAAACCCTCAGCAACATGTAAGGAGGTACATGGCTTACAAAAAGGTCACTATACAGTGACTTCGGCTTGGTAGCTTGATTGCTCGGCAATGGGCACCGTGCTGTTGATGAGGGAGCCAAGTGGACTATTTTTTGCTAAGTGGGCCATAGTTGTATTTAAATTCATTGTGCAAAAACATTCAGTTTGAACGGGCTAATTGGCAGGTTCGGGCCTGTTTTATTGGTTTTCTATCGAGCAAATTACTCAACCGATCCGATTAAGAAATCAGTCCGACTTAAGCACCGAATGACAGATTCACCGAGTTGACCCGCGCAAGACCAAGATGAATTGTAAAACACTACATTGCTGTTATGTTTGCCGCCAGCAATCCCTATACTAAGCTATAAAAGGGCCGATTACCATTTTAAATTGAGCACTGAAATCGCAAGTTTGACCAAATTGCCGAAGTGTGACTTGACTTCACTAGTATAAATAGTACATTTTAAACAAGGGTTTGATTTCAAAAATACATTCGAGTACGAGTACAAAACTCAATTTTGAAAATTCTTGGATGCCAATTATGAATTTCGAACACCATTTTTCACCTCATCTTTTGTTTTGACTTGCATATCGCTCATCTACTTTTCTTGTCTCTAAAAATCTCTCCAAAACTTAAGAATATTCATACGGTAGAGTAACTCACGAATATTTATTATCACAGATATTAGTTAAACTCAAAAGTCATCAATGAAGACCCAACTTCTGATCTTACGGTTCGCCCTAAATCTAACATCACAGCACATTAGGATAGTCGTGAGGGTTGGCTCATCTACTTTATTTCATTAAAAACTCATACCACTATTTTTGTTTCACCCATCCCTTTCTTCATTTGGACCACATTGTGTACCACTGCATTTTCTCTCTCTCTTTCATCACTGGCAACACTGTCAGCAATAACCATGTTGTACCAGTGCATACTCCCCTACTGACCTCACAATCTCTTTCATCTGCAACCATGGCTTCCTCTCAAATCTATACATTCTCCCTCTTCCTCCTCTTTCTACCCTCTCTCACTCTGTCCCAAAAACCATCCCAAATCAATGCACTAGTCCTCCCAATCACAAAACATGCCCTAAATCTCCAATATGTCACCAGTATCAGTCAAAGAACGCCTCTCGTACTGATAGACCTTGTTGTAGACCTTGGCAGCCCATTTCTCTGGGTTAGTTGTGATCCCTCAACCTATAATTCTTCCTCATATCGACCAACTCAGTGCAACTCAACTCAATGCTCGAGTTACAATCCTAAACCCATTTGCAGCACCAACAATACATGCATTCTCTTCTCTGAAAACGCTTTTACAAGCAAAGTCTCTGCTGGGAATTTGAGCGAAGACGTTCTGAGTCTCCAAGCAACAGATGGGTTAAACCCTGTATCCATGGTCACACTCCCCAACTTCCTCTTCTCTTGTGCACCTGATTTTCTTTCACAAGGCCTAGCTAAAGGGGCTAAAGGAATAGCTGGCCTTGGCTGGAGCCCAATTGGGGTACCGACGCAGCTAGCCAGAGCATTTAAACTCAGCCGGAAATTCGCCATTTGTCTTCCACCTTCAACAAACTCGTCTGGGGTTATCTTTCTTGGAGATGGGCCTTATGTTTTACTTCCGGGTATCGATATATCTAAGATACTTATCTATACTCCGCTTGTTGTAAACCCAAGAATCAGTGCTTCAAGAACTTCTCATAGTGAGCCTTTGCATTCGGGTGAATACCATATTGGAGTTAAATCCATCAGAGTAAATGGGAAAAAAGTACCATTGAATTCATCTTTATTGAAGATTGACAAAAGGGGCTTTGGAGGAACAAAGATCAGCACTGTCAATCCTTACACCACCTTAGAAACTTCAATATATAAGTCTGTTACTTCAATGATTATTAGAGAAACCATGGCTGCAAATGTTTCAAGAGTGGCAGCGGTAGCGCCATTTAACGTTTGTTTTAGCACGCGAAACAATAATGTTGCTCTAACCAGACCGGCCATGCCGGTTATAGATCTGATGTTGCAGGATGATCTTGTGTTTTGGAGAATATTTGAGACTAATTCAATGGTGCCGATGCGTGATGATATTGTATGCTTAGGGTTCTTGGATGGAGGAATGAAACCGAGGACATCAATTGTGATTGGCGCTTATCAATTGGAGGACAATTTTCTGCAGTTTGATCTCATAAGGTCGAGGTTAGGGTTTACTTCTTCACTGTTGTTGAGGCAGACGAGTTGTGCTAGTTTTAACTTTACATCGGGTGTTTGACAATAAACTGGCAATTTCTGGTTAGTATGTGTCATCCTTGTTATGCTAATCTTGTTTGTATCATTCTAATTTTTATGGAATGTTGCTATAGAAATGATATATAAAAAAAAAACAAAATTATTTTGACATAATTTGAGATTTAATTTGAAGATCTAATATATTATGATAGTCGGATTAGTAGTAAGTTGTAACCTTGCCTAATGTGCGTATTAATTTAAAAGTTACGATGTATTAAATACTCAAATTAAATAGAAGTAACATTATTTTATAGAAAATTGTTTCAAGGTAGTTATTTTTGATTAATCCTCACGATATCTACTTCAATGTTGTATACATTTGGTTGCAGTAGTGACCTAAGAGAGAGATGGGTTTCATTGTCTTGGATGGACTCGAGGTAAAATATAAAAAATAAATAAATAGCAATGTTGTTGTGACAAAATTTATTGATCTAATTCACTAAAATTTTGGATTTATTGTGAGTCCCATTAAATATTAAAATTTACCATAAATGTGGTTATATTTACCATATTTGTTAGTTTTTTTTTGCCAATGCTTTTTTTTTTTTTTTCAACGGGCAGAGGTGTACGGATTAATTTGTGCACACCCCTACTAGCCCTCTCTCCAGTTTGGTCAAAGGCAGGTCATCCACACCTGAACTAGAAGATTAATGAGAAATAAATCTCTCATGACTTGAGCCAAACAATATTTTTATCACTGTTGTGGATTCTCAAAAAATAGTTTCTACAACAGTGGTAAAAACACCAACAAATGTGGTAAAAAAAATTGTACTAAAGAAAAGTGATAAAAATATGTATTACAAATGTGGGAAAAAATAACTACAAAAATGTTAAATTATACATAAAAGTGATAAAAAAATTTTGTTGTAAAATGATCCACAAAAATTATAAACACATTCATTAAAGTGATAAAAGTNAAAAAATAACTACAAAAATGTTAAATTATACATAAAAGTGATAAATTTTTTTTGTTGTAAAATGATCCACAAAAATTATAAACACATTCATTAAAGTGATAAAAGTTGGAGGTACAATACCAAAATTATTTTTCAGTACCGTAATCAAGTCTTTCAGACACATAATTATTGTTAATCTATATTTATCTATATCTATACTACAATAAAATATCAACAAAAGTGAAAAACTTTTGATCGACTAGAATAACCCTAATAAAATAAGTAATATCATCCATATCCTATCATCTAATATTCTATCTACGTTATTGTTCTGAAACAAGTGAATAGGCTCCCCTTTTTCTTCAATACATATGTTAATTAGCCATACTAAATACCTTTCTCTCCCTCTTATTCTTCTCTCTCGCTCTTGCCCTGGTGACGGTGAACCTCCGACAGTCCTCAACACGTTAGTATCTCTCTATTCCTTTGTAAATCTCTCATGTTAATTAGAATTACCATGAGTCTACATAGAAAATTTCTTTTGTTTTGTATGAAAATAAAATTGTTGAATTGGTTAAAAGTTTTGGTAAATAATTGAAGGTCATACTGGCTTTCTCTGTGTCGAAGTTCAAATGTTCTGATTTTAACTCTTAATATCAAAGTGGACTCTTGTTTATTGAGATCAAGTTGGCTATCTGTTTGTTGTTCAAGTTGATGGTGATGCCAAATAACTCTTCTGATGTGTTTGTGACAAACAGACACATCAGTTGGGGGTTTAGATTTTAATCTGGTTAATTTGGCTATGTGGAGTGATATCATTACAATGTCTTATAGATTATTTTCCATGTTTTGCAATTTTCAGAATATCCTAATGAAGCAATGTTGATTCCTAAAAATACCTATATGTTGTTTCTTTGATACCCCATGTCTCAAGTGGTTATGTGGAATAGTCGAGAGTTTGTGACTATAAAAACTGTTAGCATAATATAAGATCCTCAACCGTGAAACAAATTACGAATGTTTAGTAGAGTTTGGTCTTAATGCTTTTTTTTCCATTAGAGGATGTCCAATCAGAAAAAAAGTAGCTTCTTGGGCGTTGATTTATCTCTTTGGTTTTGGATTATGGAGCTGATTTATCTCTTTGGTTTTGGACTATGGAGCTAATTTATTTCTTTTTTTTGGACTATGGAGCTGATTTATCTATAATGACGATCTCCTATTTTTGAACAATTTTTTGAATTTGCCTTGAATGCTAATAGAGAATAGTGTGATGGCTAATGCACTAGATGGCAAGCCTAATGAAGTTATAAAACCTAATAATGTGGAAGAAGGGAGGTGGTATTGTCGACAATGTAATTACTACATTGTGTGTTAGGTATGTGATTGCTATTCTAACCAGGCGCACGTTTTTTAATCTTTACATTTTTCATTTGTTTTTTCTCCAACCATCATTTTGTAATAATTTTTATGCTATTATAGAAGTATTGTATGCAGATGTACTGTAAGAATTTGAAATTGATCAAGTGCTTTTGCTAACTTCAATGAATAAATGTGGATAAATTAGCAAATTCTATTATCCATAGTCGTATTTTAGTCTTTATAGCTATTTTGCTAACTCAATTGAATTATTGGTTTGGCCTTGTTTTGTCTCTTTGGTACTTTGCTAAAGTCAAAGAGACAATGAACACCACACAAGAGACACCATAGGTTTATTGAATATTATGATGTGTGAGCCGCAGAAATAGCAATTAGGTCCTTAAATAAGAGTGACATTGCCAAGAATCGCATAAAACTCGAACCTAGCTGTCCTAGGGGAGCATGTCAAGGGGCTATTTTTGGGGTGTTAGTAAAAAGGGGTTTAATCAAAATAGTCAAATGGACGAGTCATACCCATGTTTGTTACCGAATTTAAGGCTCAGGATTCAAATCCCATTCGTCCCGTGGTGAACAGTGCTGCTAGATCCATATACATGGGTTTCACCAAACCTAGGAGGTTCATATCTATTAACCTAGGATAAATAGGTGAGTTGACCATTGTATCCCTAATAAATCATTCTATCTACCCAAAATCACATTTTGAGCCCCCAACTACTCCTCTCTTTGAACTCAAACAAACATAAGTATGGATTGAATTGATCAATAGGCAATTTAGTCAATTACATGATAATTTTTGGTTATGATTGTTACTAATCCATGTGTATTAATCCCATGTACAAAATAGGGGGTTGAGTTTGGGAAGGGTTTCTTAAAACCAATCCAATTGTTCTTTGAAAATTCATCCAAATATGCCCCAAAAGTGTGCACTGATAATTTTTAGAAATTTTGTATTAAGCTTTGTGTTGTCCTCATTTTGATCAGTTTGTCACATCCCTTGAACTAACCTCATGAGGTGAATATTATCATTGATTATTCCAGTATTGTTGTACATATGGAGCTGGTGTTGTTTAGCCATGAAATTAGTAAATGTAACCAATTGTTTACATGGATCACAATCTCTTCCTCAAATGCTCTCAAAAAATTGTGGCTATCTCTAAGAAGATTTTTCTAAGTTATTTTGGATGTACATTTTATCTTTCTTACTAGGAAAAGTTATATGGTCTCATTGGTGTTTGTTTCTTCATGCACTCATATTGCCCTTAAATAAGTTGGTTTGTCTGCAGAGGAATCGAGATGATTAGACTGCTCATTAATAAACCTTTAAGGTTTATGGCTAATTTGCACTGAGTGATACAACTGAATAATGCTTGGCCATTGTTAGAGAGTTCATTAGTACCAGTAATAAATTTAGTTTCGGAGAAGAGAGTAACAATCTCATGATTAACCAGATTTTTGTCTAAGTTGCGAGCTATTATCTACTTACTTTTATATATTGAAATTAAATTTCCTCTCCAATAATCTGTCTCTCCCAGTCTTCCAAAATGGTGACATATCTTGGATGCAGGAAATTATTAAAAATTACCAAATAGATAACATGCTTCTTATTTATTTCTAAAGCCAAATAAATACTCATTTTCATCAATTTTTGTTTGAATCTGCTTTTGGTTAGGTGGTCATGAACTCTGACAAACCACTAGCAATACAGGCGTGCAGTTAGAACGTCATATGCAATAAAGTTTGAACTGAACCTCTGATTTTGTGAAATTGTGAATTTCACTATTTATGTACTAATAAGATTTAGATGTATTCTCATTTGAGTAGTTGAAGGCAATTGTCAGGTTTGCCTGCATGTTGAAAAGGTGCTTGAAGATTTCTAAGCTATATTTTCACCATATATTTTATTTAATATTAATATAGTTTATATATTTTGAGAATGTCATATAGAACAAGATTCTTGACTAATTAAACATCAAGGTTTACTAAAGAGGATTTCGGAACAAGTGATCTACATATTTCATCCTTAAATTGGTCCACGTGCAATGCACCTGTGCACCAACTAGTATTTATATATGTGTCAACTTAGAAGTACTTGATCAACTCGAAGAATTAAGTCAAACATTTAGATGTAACCAAAACACCATGTCATCAATGTTATATGGTGTTAACAACCAGTAATAGAATACCAAGTGGACTTAGTTGGTTTAATTGTTTTAATGACTACCAATAACTACATTTGTCATGTTAGAATAGTGAATTCATCAATCCTATTTGTTTTTTTATAATTGATTAGTAATATCATATGACATTGATAGATGATGTGGTATTACTGTTATATTCAATATTTACTTGTGATTCACCACCAGTATCCTTTGGTAGTTGGAGTGAATGGGAGATTCAGAGTATTGCTAATAAACATAATCAAATTCAAATTCAAATCAAAATCAACTGAAAATTCAATCCATTTAACATATTTAGTCATAACGGATCATTTTTCATTGTGTGTTGATAACTAAGCAGTACATCGAATGTTATGGACGGATATTATGATAGGGTAAGAGGAAGATGAAATTTGAGATGGCAGGATACAGAGTATTAGTGATATCTAAAGCAAGGAATAGATAAGAGTAGGAGCGACAATTTCTGACATAACAAGAAAATATGATTCAAATATGGTAGTTAGGGTTGACTATTTTTTCACACGAATACATATATGACACGATCCATTAACATGAATAATAAATGAATTAAGTTACTATCACGAACAATACGAAATTAACATGCTTAACACACTTAAGTAATGTTATAAGATTAAAATGTCAATTTTTTATTATATTTTATCAAGTAGTGACACAACTCTTATACACAAAAAAGATATTTTTACTCAAATTTATTAAGTTAATTT